CAAGCTCTCCGAATTGCTTTTTTTTTTTTTTTCCAGTAAAGGTTCTCCCGCTCATGAGAACGAGGCATGTGAGAGCTGCTAACGGAGGTCAGCGCTGAGGTTCTTGGGCGTGAAGAGCTGTCCTATGCAAAGCCAGATGGACTCCCACATCAATTTCTTTTGCTATTTACAATGTGCCTAAAAATTCAACTAGGGGAGCACAGTCCACTCCCATTCTGCCCCGCAGGCTAGCCACGTCCCTACTTGCAATGCCATCCATCCGTGCCCAGAACCCACTGGCCACTGTTTATCAACATTTCAATCATCTCAAGTTACCCGCAGGTCAGAATTAATCAGCAGAGTGGGAGGCCTTCGGCAGATCTCTGAACAAAGTTCTTCCTGCTAAAGATCTCTGGGAAATGCTGCTTTTAACTTTCCTCATACATACTACATTCAGAATTAAAATGTAAATTCAAATATGATCTCACGTAAGATGGTAAGATGCTTTCTAAAATAATCAGTAAGATGCTTTCTAAAATAATCAGTCTTCAGATATTTTTTTTCCCTGTCTTCCATCTCTCGTGAGCTTATCCTATAATATTTAATGGGCTACAACAAGGATCAACCAGGGAGGAAGGCACCACCAAGAGAAATCAGCCAGAATTGTTTAGAGTCCAACAGAAACTATTTTTAAAGTATTTTATATTGTTAGTTGAAATGGAAAACCATTTTCCTTGTCTACAAAGCTCTGATTTAGCTCTTTTTACTCAGCCATTGAAAATTTATTTTCCTGATCTTCACATTTTGCATCTCCCATTTAAAACAATGTCTTCCTTTCTCCCTATCTAAATAAAGTTTGAGCCTCCCTTATTTCAGATTCAGATTCAACAAACCTTTCGCTGAAAGCCTAACTATGTGCTGAGCAATGCAGAGTCAACTCAGCCTATTATCTAGAGATTTATCATTTTACAGATGGAGGAGTAGGGGCTCCATTAAGTTCACTGACTTTCCTGCTTTCAAAGACCTTGCAAGGGGCATCCCTGGAGTTTCCAAGTCTCTGCTTCCAATGGGAACTCCAGGTAAAATACTTCCCCAATATTGCTTGCATCTGGCTTTATCCTTCCGGAATCTTGCTCAAGATAAGTTACATGGTTTGAGGAGAGCTTTTTGCTACTGGTAATCTCAGCCTGGGATCCAGGATTGTATGCAATTCACAGAAGGATAAATATAGCTCTTGCACATTGCAAACAACCTTCACAAGGGACCTTCTCCCTGAATTCAAATAACCAGAAATTAAGCCCCCTGGTTTGTAGAGTTAGTCCAAACAAAGGTTCACAATTAACATGATGTCAGGTCTTCATTCCTTTCTGTCATTGCTCCCCTCTGACCACTACTCTGTTAGTTCAAAGAGTCAGAGCACCCGATTGGGAGGGGGCACCAAGGCCTCCCTTCCATCTGCGTGAGGCCAACAGGCAGGGCATACCGGAGCCTAGGAGGGCTGGTAGTCAAGGGTTGCAGGGGAAGAAAGACAGGGAATTCTAGAGCGGGCACTCGTACCAAGCAAGACGTGATACACACCAACATGACGACAACTACTACTACTGATGATGGTATCATTTCAGATTTTCAAGGCATAGCCATTCACAAATACTAACATTATGCAGAAAACCTACCAAAACATAATGCTATCTCTGTAGCCAATAGCAAGATAAGCCTCATTCTTCTTCCCTTCCAGGAAGTCGAGCATGCCCTCCTTGCCTGTTTGCTCGCTTGCTCTCATGTAACTCTGCATATCCTATTTTTCATGAACACGAGAGGCACACCTATTCTTTTTCTGTAGAAAGCTCGAGGCCAGACATTTTACCTCTGGTGGTTCTCAGTGCTAAGATGCTACAGAAAGCATCACACGGAAATTCTGAGTAGTCAGAGCTGTACCTTTATGGTGGTGAAAAATTCACTACCTTATCCCCCCGAAAAGATTACACTCAAGATGTCAGACCCACCACGAAGATAATGAATGACATCAGTCGCAATAAGAGATCTCAGTTCCAATTTGTGACCCATGAGGTGGGACCCCAAGCTCAAATGGGTAAAACCAGGAGAACATTCCAGAGACGTTCGCAAATGAGTCAATGGAACCCTGACTGGTTTACTGATGGAAAGAAAGAACAAGAGGATGCCTTAAGTGTTAAAAGGTCAGAGCAGTAAAGGAAGAATAAGATATACGTTTGGCCCTTAGAGTGCATCGACAGAGCATGTGTGAACTCAATTTACCAGCCCAAAGACTTAGCGTAGGGTTACTCCCCTTTGATCTACAGAGCAAACACCTCACACTGTAAGACTCACTGACAGTTCAAGGGGTCCTCCGTAACCTTTGAAAGCACTAAATTTCTTCACTGGCATTGTAAAAACCACAATAGCATTTGGGGTCATCTGCACGGAAAGTTTCTTTGCGTTACTTTTTAGATGAAAAGCCACGGCTCATCATTAGAAGGCCCCCTGTAAACAGAGTCAGGTGAAGTCACAGGACCCTGCAGTGTCTGCTTGTTCAAAGTGGGCTCAGGGACAGAATCTCCTCCCTCACTCTGCCAGGTTCTGCAATATCTAAGTTCTATTTAATGAGTTCGTTAAGAAACAGGTATTTCTGCCCTTGTGAATCATGAAGCTTCTTAGAGTCAAGAAGTCCAGGTCTGTTTGAACTAAGAATCTGTGAATTAATACTGAATGTTTGCTTCCAGTCTACGAGCCACTAAATCAGAATTCAGGGAATTGGGGCTGTTACTTTGTGCCTCCTTCCTTCTATGGGATGGGGGGATACCCTAAGAGGCGGGATTCATGCAGGAGGAGGCCGGGGCCAGAGAGTCCTAGGTTTGAACCATGGTTGTGCCACCGTCCAGCTGAGTGATCCTGTGCGGGTCAACTTCTCCAGGGTCTTGGCTTTCCAATTTGCTGAACGTGGGGGAATAGCCACCCAAAATGGTCATTTCGCAGATTACAAAAACAAACAAAAAAACCGTGTATGATCAAGAACTTATTTTACAATTACGTCTCCTATATGGGAGATGCTCCCTGTTAGCTGAACTTGAGAGATGCATCTCTAGAAAGATTATTAACATTCATTGTTAGGGTTCCCAGTTACGTTTCAGGGTCACACCAGCAACCAACTTTAAGCTCATGTAAAAGGAGGAAGAGACTGTTTTCTTCTGATGAAATAAGAAGCTAGTAGAATCCTAACAAACCATCAGAATGGGACTCTCCTGAAGATGACAGGCATTCAGGCAACAAAATCTGGCTGATTTCCCTTCCGTCCTTCTGGGTGTGAATGTTAGATGCAGACCTTGCTCTGTGTGTGTGTGTGTGTGTGCATGTGTGTGTTCTGGGTGTGTATGTTAGATGCAGACCTTGCTGTGTGTGTGTGTGTTCTGCGTGTGTATGTTAGATGCAGACCTTGCTCTGTGTGTGTGTGTGTGTGTGTGTGTGTGTAGGGGGCGTGGCGGGGGTGGATAAAGACCTTGCCCCTTGCCCTGGTTTCACCCTCCACGGGACTGGCTTCTCGGGGACACATCCTCCCTCTGGACCCGCAAAGCCCCAAACCTCAGGCTCCAGCTCCTTTGAACCCCCCAGAGCTCCCTATCTCCCTCCAGTGCCGCAGCCCGCAGGAAGCTGAGGGTCCCAGCGCTCCGGGGCTCTCCTTCCTGGACGTGGAGCGCGATGGCATCAGAAAGTGTCTGTACTCTCTTGGACCCGGCTGCACCAGCAGCACCTTCCTCTCCCTTCACCCCTGCAGAGCACGCAGGGCACGTGCATCCGGAGCAGTCCCCAAAGCTGGTCGGCTGCGAAGGTGCCCTATCACCCTCGCCTCTCACCCCCCCCACGCTCCACCCCACCCCCCTCCCCCCGCTCCCGGCAGAGTCAGGCCAGGGTCTGGCCAGAGCCCCCTCCTCCAGCCAGGCCTGAAGAAGTGAGTGAAACGGGTGTGAGTACGGAGTTGCGGGGGGTGGGGAATGATCGGGTCACTTTCTGGGGCCCGTGTACGCAACCCTCTCCACTCCCATTTCTTGCAGGAAGGAGAGCGAGGAAACCAACACCGTTTAGCTCAGAAGCACCTCCAAATCTGTTGCGCTTCCAATCATCCCCATATCACCATTTAATTCATTGTTCCCCAGCCGGGCAGTTCTGCCGGAAGCCCGGGAGCGGCACCCCGCAAAAACCCCGCGCCCGGCTGCCAGTCCAACTCTCACCCCACGGCGCCGCCTCTGGGCCCCGCAGGTCCCTATGCGCGGGGAGGCTTGCAGTTCTCCCAGAGCAGAACCCAGTCAGCGGGGCTCGGAAGTTTCCCACCTTCTTTTTCTACCCGGCTCCGAGAGCCCCCCACGCGGATCCCAGGAGAGAGACGAGGCAGCCGGGAGGTCTCTCCCCAGATCTGCGCTCACGCCGGGTCCGGCCCTCTCTTCCCGTCCCTCCGCCTCCCTCCTCTCGTCCAGCTCCAGTCCCCGCGCCTCCTGCGCCTCCAGCGCCCAGCGGTTCTCTCCCCCAAGAGGAGCAAACTACTTTCTGGACTAAATTCAGGTCCGAGCAGGAAAGGCTTTCCCTTCCTCGCCTTCTCCTTACCCTGGCTCTCAGAAACCGCAAGGAGCGCCCTCACCCTCCCCTAACCCCCAAAAGAGCTCGGGCTACCAGTGCTCCGGTCGGGTCTGAAACCACCACGGGTGTATGCATACTCCGGATTTTTCCAGAGACCCTACCTGTCCCTCGTGGCTTGCAAAAAAAACAAAAAAACCACGAGTAGACAAAACCAACCCCGGTAACTTTGGGGAGTGTGTGCGTGTGTGTGTGTGTGTGTGTATGTGTGTGTGTATGAAAGAGAAAAAATCGCTCAAGAGTTAGGGCAACAGCTGCAAGAGCACATCTGGAAGAGGGGAGAGGGAGTTGACAAGGAGGGGGCAAGAAGCGCGAGGTCGCGGGGGCCTCCCCCTGCCCCGGCAGCTTCAGGGCCAAGGACTGGGCCAGCCTGTCGTTACCTGTCCCATGTTGATGAATCCGTACTTGCTGGCGATGCGGTTGGCCTCTGGGAAGCCGCCGGCGATTTTGACCGCCCAGTGGTTGGTGTAGACTCGCGTCCGGCACACGGGGAGCAGGCAGCCCCCGAGCAGCGCCAGCACGCACAGCAGGTCCAGGCGTCCCGGGCAGCAGCAGCGGCTCCCCCAGCCCATGGCCCCGGCGCCTCTCTGCCTCCCTCGCTCGCTCGCTGACTCCGCGCACGAGCGGCGCGCACAACTAACTTCTCCGGGCCTGGGCCGCCCCGGCGCGCAGCCCCCCGGCCGCCGCGGCGCGCAGCCCTGGGCGATCCGCAGGAGGCGGCGAGCCCCGGCTGGGAGCAAATGGCGAGCCTCGCGCCGGCTCCTAGACCATCCCTGGGGCTGCGGGGACCTGTGCTCCCTGCCCTCCGGCCCGCAGGGCGATCGGCGGGGGCTCCCCGGCTCGGGCGCAGGAGGCGGCGGAGTGGGGCGGGCTCCCTCCTGCAGTTGCGTCTCGCCGGCTCGGCTCCCGACTCTCCGACTCGCCCTCGCTCCTCCCCGGGCCCCGGAGCGCGGCGGAGGCGGCGGTGCAGACAGCGGCCGGGCGCCCCCTCTGCTGGCCCGGGCTCCGAGCGCTCGCTAGCTTGCTCCCTGCGCTCCCTCCGGCTCCGAGCAGCGCGCGGGGAGTGTGAGTGGCAATGGCAGCAGCGCCTGCTCTGCATAAATGACTCCCCCGCCCCCCCAACACCCCTCCTCTCCCACAGCCCCCTCCTCCTCTCCCTCCTCCGCCCGCCGGAGCGCGGCCGCAGCCAGGCACCAACCAGGTCCTAGCGCCGCCGGGTTCTCCGGGCTGTAACCTCCTAGGGTCCCGGGCGGCAAGAGCGAGTCTTTCCAAAGGGCTGGGAGCAGAGCTCCCGGCGTCGCGGCTCTGCCCCCTTCTCTTCCTTTCCTCCTTGGATTCGAATCAACTTACCGCCCCCTTCCCGAAAGACTAAGGAGATCTACACGTTGGTGCGAGTCAAGCGCCCCGAAGATTCATTCATCCTAGCTCTGAACCTCCTTAAACAACGAAGTATTTAGGAAGGTCACTTGCGTGTCAATTGCCGAACAAATAACCCCGAGATTTTCATTTCGTTAATTCTTCATGCTTTTCAGCAACTGTTTATTTTACACACTCGGCTCCCGGGAGAAGCTACCACACAGGACCGTAGGGCGCATCGACTCTTAAAAGCCAACCACGGTGGCTCCAAAGCCAAGTCTGTTGCCTGCTGACTTTCGAAATCAGTGCATCTGATACGAGGCAACGCCACGGGAGAGTAAAATTCCAGTCGCAGAATTGAGCAAAGATGTTTCTATGAATATTTGGTATGAAAGGAGATGGAGACGTTGGGCCAAGGGAATAACTTCATTCATTCGTTCCACTGAGTCTGATGAGGGCGGCTTTTTCTCCACCAAGGGAAAAGTTTTCCAACTTGTCCAAGCGCGGCCCTGTTAACAGTGAGAGACTTCAATATAAAAAGGACCACAGAGGAAGTTCAGATGAAATACGGGCCTGCGCCGGCTTCATTACCGTCTCCAGCGCTGTGACTGCAGTGGGCAGGAGTGAGCTTGGATTAACCCCGTTTCTGCTGAACAACCTCCCTCCCTCTTTTGGTGGCATAGGATGATTTCTCCTGAAAAGAAAATGTATCCTTTATGTAAATAACTCCACTGGCCTCTGAAATATTTACCATACCCCTAACCCCCACCGGCCCCTTTTTTCCCCTCCTTTGCCCAGCCCCTCTGATCTTTCTTCTTAAGCATTGATTGGTTAAATGTATCTGAGATTAATTAACCTATCACATCTCTAGCTTTGGGTAATGATTCTTTTATCTGCCTAGGGCTTCACTTTTCTCCCTTCTTCCCTCAGCTGAACCATATCTGCAAACTCAAAATTCGTAAATTTAAAGTTCATAAAATTCAAAAAGTGAAATTGGTAACTCATGAAGTTACCGCTTTATGACATTTTACACATTGCATAAGGTATGCCATGTTATCTGATCTTGAAACCAGACTTGGCAAATAGCATTATCCCCCTCCTTAACTGATGAAGAGGTGGAAGGTCAGAAAAGCTCAATCGCTTGCAGAAGGACATATAGTTTATGCTGTTTATTTGACTGATTTGGCACATCTCTTGAGCACCTAGAACTTGCCAGGCATTGTGCTAGACACTGGAGAAAGAGGAGAAGGGGGGAGGAAATGCAGCACAAAGGATTAGTGGAATTCAGGCTCTGAATAACTCTAGATGTGGTTTATTTACTATTGTTGTCATTGTTACTTACAGGCGGAAAAGCATAAGCACTATACCTGGGCTTTCCAGTTTCAGTACAGTCTTGCTACTGGCCAGTCCCTCTGCACAACCACTTCTTCGGCTCCCTGTCCGGAGTCCAGAAAGTTTACAATCTATTAGATCACTGTTCATTGCCACCCAGGCCACCTGCATCCATCCACAGGACATTGGATGATTCTTCCAGAAGCCGCTGGGTTTCAGATGGGACGGGAAGAGCTCAGTCAAAATCCAAATCTCAATGTACATCAGTCAGTCATCCCTTCAGAACTGGGGGCATTAGCTGTCAGAGGGTAGGGAGAGCCTGTCTGGGAATGATCCGCAGGAGGGTGGCCCCTGTGAGGACCACACAACGTACTCTATGAGTCAAGCCTGAAGCATGGCCTGTGGTTTTCTCTAGGACTCTGGGGTCATTACTGTTTAGGACCACAAAGACAGCACAAAATACTTCTCTTTGAAAGCCGTGTTGCCTCTGGGCTTCAACTTTTGAATGAAATGAAGAGGGAATCCCTGCACCTGGTCTCCTGAGGCCTGGACGTTTTTCCTAAGAGTAGCAAAACTACTCATTGGTATTTTTTTTCTCCATGGTGTCTTTTCCTTTTTCTTTCCAATGAACACTCTTGCCTTCGGTGAGCATGCGCTGCTTGGCACGCACACACAGCATTCACTGCGTTGAACGTGAGAGAGAATTGGAAAATGAGGTAGGAAACAGGCAAACCACTTTTCTGCTTTGTAAACCAACCCCTGGGCCAGCATTTTAGCTTGCTCAAAGGGTATATTCTTTCGTTTGGGCGCGTATGCATTTGGAAGGGAAAATCCTAGCTCTGTTCAAGAAATAAACAAGACCTGGGACCCCATACATCTGTCAACTCAAACACGTGAATGTAGATTCATTCATCTTCTTGCCCATCACTTTTGTAGCTCCCTTCACTGAATTCACTTAAGAAGAGTGTGATTCTTAAACTTTAGTGAGACCAAAGAAGCCCCTCTGCGATTAATACGAAGGCTTTGGGATCTGCCTTCATGAACTCATTAGCCTCCTTGATTAGAGCCAGTTGGCTGCAATGAAGCTTCCAGATAAGGATCAGGAGCTACAGCAAAAAAAAAAAAAAAAAAAACATCTTCTTTCAGGACGTTAAGCTCTGCTGGTTCTCACGGTCAGCTCTGCTCACGATGCCTCAGTAGCCAAAGGAACAAGGAACTAATAGAATAGAAGTGGTTAGTGCAAAACCACCCCTAACGTTGGGAAAGAAGCTAAATCCAAGATTGGCACAAATGCTTCCTTTTTGTATGCAAGGAGTAGCTCTGCAAGTTTGACCCTCTACTCTTCCTCCCGAACGTGCCATATGGCAGGAAATCAGGCAGTTTTAAGCTTTACTCTGCCTTATACTTAGCAACATATTACTAGATAATGAGGCCCCACTAGTGTTTGGCCTCTCTGCCAAGGTCCCTCAGAGCTTTAAAGGAAAATTTCAGTGAAAGGCAATGAACAGAAATCCAGACAGTTTTTTAGGAGAGGTGAACAAGAACCCTATAAGAATTCATCTTGAAATGGTAGAAACGAGAATTATTCTGGGAAGAGTTTGCCTGATGAGACACCTCATTTCTTCCTCTGCTACATCCTTTGCTGGAAATTGACCTTTAAGAGTCCCTAACCTGAAATTCTGTGAATCAATAATAAATTGGTAATGGACAGTTTGGAGCTGACTGAGAAGGGAAAAAATGCCACTAGGAATTTCATGGCCCAGGAGAAGAGTCACCAATATTTATGGAGATTCTAATCAGTTTTCCAGTATATCAGATTCAGAGTTGGCAGTGGAAAATTTGTCAGATTTAATGATAATAATAAATGGTAATAATAACTACCATTTATTAAGGACTGGTAATATGCCAGGCACTGAGCCAAACACATTTCAGGCCTTAATCTCATTCGTAGAGCATCAGAGCTGAAAGAGAACTTACATATCAGAGAATCTAACTTCTTTATTTAATAAAGAAGAAAACTGAGGCCAATATAAAACTAAATTGGAAGACAGCAATCCTATCATGGGAAAATAAATTCACAATGCATGAATAATATAAATAAAACAAAGGAATGGCCGCAAGGACCAAAGATGATAGCTCGCTATGAACGTAGGATTGACGTTGATCTGACTGGCAGACCGGGGTTAATAAAATAAATTTCAGTAGAATGAAAACTTGACTTAACATCCCCAATTTCATAGATGTTTAACCGCCACCATTTAACAGTATCATCCATGACACATAGGAACTGGCGCAGGAGTTAACTCAGGGCTCAATATTGCCTCTATGGCAAAATATGTAGCTAATGGGATGCTAACAGGTGACTAATACCCTGCAGATTTCAGGAGGCTTTAGCTCCATCTTTGACCTGTTTGAAGTGGATTTACATTGGCATAGTTGACCCTCTTCTGTGGACATTTAAATCCTGCAATGACAATCTGGTTCCCAAAAGGCTTTCAGTTGAAAGCAAAGCGTAAAGTTGCAGGGTGTATATGTATATGTATATGTATATGTATATGTATATGTATATGTATATGTATATGAAGGAAGTGACACCAGCTGTTTATCACCTTCTAGTCACTGCCCCTAATCCTTCCAGAATGGATATGATGGTTGGTTGTGATGTCACTTCTCACCTCAGACTCTAATCCAGGGAAAAGCAAGTAGAGAAAGCGTGGGAAAAAAAAATCAAAGCAGTAGGCTTGGGTCTTGGAGCTTCACCCACCAAAAGGAATCAACCCTACATCGATAGTAGCAGCCCTCCTCCAGGAGTCAAGACTTGCTCTTTTTGGGGTACCTCTGGACCCGTTTTTCCAAAACATTTTCTTGGCTTACACCTCTCAGAGAATCAGGAGTTAAATTACTACCAACTTAATAACTTGATCTTGCTTTGGAAGACCAAGTTAAATGGACCCTAGGAATTCTATTTTTTTTTTTTTTTTTGAGTCCGGGCAGTAGCTCTAATTCTTTGATGCCAAATGATACATTGTAATTCAAAACATATTCAGTATGACTTTTACTTGTTTATCTGAAGCAAGATAAATTATGACAAAATTATTTCACAAATACCTTGTATGAGTACATACTTCATGCTTATTACAGGTCACCATTTCCAGAAACTGTGTATCTAGATCACTGTGCATGACATAACTTCATTGTTCCCATGGTGTATGCAGGATGTAGGTATTACAAAACCACTGTGTACCTATCGTTCAAGCACCTCCCTACCTACCTTCCCTGCCCCTACTTCAGATTTCGGTAGTCTATGACATAAAGCACATCTTTTCTTGCCCTTAACCCTTAGATGCATGGTAAAGGTATTTATCAGTGAGATAGTCCAGAGC